AAGATATTGAAAACCTATTTGAAGAAATAATGACAGAAAACTTCCCCTATCTGGTAAAAGAAATAGACTTATCAGTCCAGGAAGCACAGAGAACCCCAAACAAGAGGAACCCAAAGAGGACCACACCAAGACACATCATAATTAAAATGCCAAGGGTTAAAGACAAAGAGAGAATCTTAAAAGCAGCAAGAGAAAAGCAATTAGTTACCTAAAAGGGAGTTCCCATATGACTGTCAGGTGATTTCTCAACAAAAACTATGCAGACCAGAAGGGAATGGCAAGAAATCTTCAAAGTGATGAATAGCAAGAACCTACAACCAATATTACTCTACCCAGCAAAGCTATCATTTAGAACTGAAGGTCAGATAAAGAGCTTCACAGACAAGAAAAAGCTAAAGGAGTTCATCACCACCAAACCAGTATTATATGAAATGCTGAAGGATATTCTTTAAGAAGAGGAAGAATAAGAAAAAGATAAAGATAAAAAATATGAACAACAAAGTGGCAACAAATATGTATCTATCAACAACTGAATCTAAAAATCAAATGAGTAAAAAATCTGATGAACAGAATAAACTGGGGAATGGAATGGAATCAGGGGCATGGAAATGGAACAGACTGATAATTCTCAGAGGGAAGGGGTGTTGGGGGTGGGTCGGGAAGAGATTACACAATGATCTTATATGCATGTATGCATTACCTATGGACACACACAATAGGGTGGCGAGGGCCTGGGGTGGGGCAGGAATTGGGTGGAGAGGGGATATGGGGTGGGGGAGGTACTTCTGTAATAATCTCAACAATAAAGATTATTAAAATTAAATAAATAAATAAAACACTGTGCTAACCAAACACTGAATCTGGATGCTTGATTCAGCCCAGAGGCCACCACTTTCAGCCTTCTGCCATCACCCCCCCACCCCCTTGGAGATTATTTGTTTTCAGTGGCCATTCATTTGTTTGACACATGATTCTCTCTCTCGCGCGCTCTCTCTCCACCCTTCCACACAAAGAACAATGAGCAGTTGAAGTATTTGTTGACAGCAAAGTATAGTGAGATGGGCAGTGAAATAAAGTAGTTATAAATCCCAACTACAGCCATGTGACCAGTTGCAGAGATGAGAACTGTATAATTATGAATATTTCTTCCTTACTTTGTTATGGGTGTGTTTATATATGGATAGTAACCAAATATTTTTGTTTTCTTTTCTCTCTTATTCCTTTATCACCTAATTTAAGATGCATGAGTTATAATTACCTTTATATCACAACATTGAAATCATAGGACATCAATGAGAAGAGTGAACACCATCTAGGACTTCACATTTTCTTGTGGGAAATTGGTTAGCATGTTTCAGTTGTATGTGGGAGAAGTTGTATGATGTTAGTATGCCTTTTATTTTCTTTATTTGGAGATTAAGTATGGTTTAAGGAGATGTATCTGGTGCTAAGTTGACAAGGGGTGGACTATGATGGTCTTTTTGAGATGCCAACTTGGCTAGGCTACAGTCCCCAGTTAACCAAACACAAATCTAGGTGAAGGTATTTTGCAGATGTGATTAAAAGCCCCCACATTTTAGGTAATCTGGATGGACCTCATTCAGATTAAAAATCTTTAAAGAAGCTTCAGCCTGTCCCTGAGCTTTCTCTCTGTTGTCCCTGCGGCTTGCCTTATGAACTTCAGGTGGGCCTAATGTAAGCCGATTTCTTGCAATATGTCTCATAATATAGTATATCTCCTACTGGTTCTGTTTCTCTGCCTGACCCTGACTAATACAATCCTTCACCAGGCCACATAATAGAACAAAGAAAAGTTCTTTTTCCATCAAATAGCCCGGGGCTCATATTCAAGGTTAAAGGATTAAGGCTTACATATACTGTTTACCAAAGAAGAAAATGCCAAATAGCAAACGCAGTACAAAAATCAATCCTTTGCACCACAGGAGCAATATGAAAAACAAGTGAGTTGAGTTCAATATAAAATTTTCTCTGTGGGATTATCAAAAATTAGCACTGTTTCATATGCAATATCCAGTTCTTCTGAGACAGGCATCCACCTACAACAAACCACCATGGGCCAATCAAGATCACAACCACATCCTCAGACACTTGATGATCAAAAACTATGCTCAGCCCTGACTGGTTTGGCTCAGTGGATAGAGCATCGGCCTGCGGACGCAAGGGCCCCAGGTTCGATTCCAGTCAAGGGCATGTACCTTGGTTGCGGGCACATCACCAGTAGGGGGTGTGCAGGAGGCAGCTGATCAATGTTTCTCTCTCATCAATGTTTCTAACTCTCTATTCCTCTCCCTTCCTCTCTGTAAAAAATCAATAAAATATATTTTTTAAAAATATGCTCAGAAATACAGTCATTATTTCTTTTCATCTTATGTTCAAACAAACCTCCAGTTACCCTATCTACCCAGGAATCCCTCCATACCGACTACTACAAACAGAAGAATGCACTTGTTTTCTAAAAAAAAAGGAACCATCAGTTAAGTACATACAATGGAATATTAGCCAGCCTTGAAAATGAAGGAAATTCTGAAGGGATTAAGAAAAAAACACCTCTTAGATACAGACAACAGTATGGTGATTACCAGAGAGAAAAGGGGATGGGAGAGGCAGAAGAGGGTATAGGGGGGATAAATGGT